CACTGGTCCTTCTTTTGATAACTAGTGTTGGACTTTAAGTTTTTGTCCAAGGAGACAGCCCGTCAGGAATTCCTTCCATCCGTCCCAGACGTCCAAGTGAAGTGTTGCACCTGTGGATCAAGAAGGGCAGTTTGTGGTCTAGTTCTTCACTGCAGTTTGGCAATCTGTAAAACCTCTAATGATAGCTTTCCACTGTGGAGGATATTGACATTAATAAAACACACGTAGGGCCGGCCCAGTGGCGCACTGGATAAGTGCGCCGCTTGGGAAGCGCGGCGGCGCTCCCGCCCGAGGGTTCGGATCCCACATACAGACCGGTTCCTGCTCACTGGCTGAGCGAGGCGCGGGAGCAGCACCGAGGGTTGCAATCCCATTGCCGGACACGGAAAAAGATAAAAGACAAAAAATAAGAAAAATAAAAAAATAAAAATAAATAAAACACACGTATTTCACAGGGCCATAGCCTATAGCATAGTAAGACCAAAGTCCTTAGTTTAGCAGGACCAAAGTCCTGTAGTTTAAGCCATAGCCCAACTCTTTAGAAATACACATAGAAATGATAAGATTAGGAAAAACCAGAAAACTTTCACAGGACTAAAGTCTTTGATGTAGATAAGAGAATTGAAGCACAACAAAAGTGATTGCTCTGGGGGCAGTTGCCCTTGGTGCAGCTAAACCTAAATGATGGGAAAGTGTGTGAGCTAAAATCTTCAAGGATATTCTGCTAGTTAGTGGTTGGGGGATGTTCCACATCTTACCCTTAGCTGTTTAAATTTCTTGGAGAGCTAAGTGCTGCTATGGTGATTATCTTATTGTTTGTTTTTGTATGTCACATAGCTTAGTTTTATGACACCTGCTTTAATGAAGATTGTCATGTAGCCCATTTGTTTATGTTTTCACTATGATTGATTAATCACCTGTGTTTCTTCTGTAACTTTCTTGCCTGCACAATAAAAACTGAGAAAAAACCTGACTTTGTGCTGTGCCTGGAGCTTTCCTCTCTTGAAGGAGTTTTCCCTGGGTGTGGTCACTTTGGGCCTCTCATTGCTCTGGATACATGGGCTCTGAGTAATCCTTTGTGTCTCTGTCACCCTGCAAGAGGTGACATCCACAGAGGCAAGAGCAAGATGCAAAATGAAAAGCAACATTGGAACAAGGAGACAGGGATGCTATTTTTAGCTTAGGCTTTATTGGCTTTGAAAAGCCATGTAAGGGGCCGGCCCGGTGGCGCACTGGATAGTGCGCCGCTTGGGAAGCACGGCGGCGCTCCCGCCCGAGGGTTCGGATCCCACATACAGACCGGTTCCCGCTCACTGGCTGAGCGAGGTGCGGGAGCAACACCAAGGGTTGCGATCCCGTTGCCGGTCCCGGTCCGGTACAGGGGCAACACTGAGGGTTGCAATCCGTTGCCGGACACGGAAAAAAAAAAAAAAA